AGCATATGAGAAGGTCCCAGAAAAATACATTGGATTTTGAGAAGTACTGGAGGGGAGGAAGCACCAAGTGGGTAGAGGGAATGTTGGAACAAAGGCATAGGGACACAAAAACATGAGATACTTTTAGGAAGCCCTCTGGTGAGAGATTGTTAAGGAATGTGGATGTAAGGCAGTGTTTTGTGGGCTAGGAAAAATAGGTGGTTTATGTTGCAGAACACATCGAATGCCACTGCGGGCAGTTCCATCATTGCTTGGTCAACAGTAGCGAAGCTTTGAGGATCTTTAAGTGGACAGTTATATGAACAGACTTGTACTTCAAGAAGATGAATCTAGCAATATTGTGTAGTATGAATGGAGTCCATGAAAATGGCAGTATTGTGTAGTACGCTTGGGTAGGAGTAAGAAAGAAAGTGGTTAAGAGAGTTAACAGTCTTGGGTGAGAAGTATTGAAGCCCTACAAGGGAAAGTGGTGGTAGAAATAGGTGATTTGGCAGTTGATTAGATGGATAGCGGAAACAGCTGTGTGACCTGTGTGGGAACAGGGGAATGGTGAGAAGTGTAAGAGAACTAGAAAAGAAATGGAAGAGCCTGTGTTGTTCCAGGGAGGTGGAGGGATACTTTGACTTTGGTTGTGTTATGTAGAATGAAATGCTGGCAGGAAAGCTAGGTAGAGGAGTCAAACAGTGTTTTGAGAAGTATATGTATGGGGACATTAGAATATTACATATCTTAGTGTTTTGCTTCCTAGTTGCAAATGAATATGTACTTTATAGCTAAAACCCAGCAAGGAGGTTTCAGCCTTTGTTTATTTGCAATTCCTTAATATCATCTGATACCCAGTCTATGTTTAGACTTCTATGATTATATAAAAAACATCTTTTTACAGATTTTCTTGATTAAAAAATCACCGCATTTGGTTGACAACTAACACTAGTCTCTTTAATTATTCCCCCTCTTCCATTTATTTGAAGAAACTGGGTGAGTTGACCTGTAGATTTTTTCCATATTTTGGGTTTGGCTGATTGTATCTTTTAGGTGTCATTTAAATTACTTCTTTGCTTCCTTTATGTTCTGTAAACTGGTAGTTAGATCTGAAGCTTGATTCTATTCAGTTGTTTTTTTTTTTAAGGGTTTGGGATAAAAGTACTTAATAGGTTTTGCTGGGTTTCCTATTGTAGCACATGGAGCATAACCCACCTAGGTGTCCCACTTTTAGTAATGTTCAGTTTGATTCAGATGTTGTCGCCTAATCCATACACTGTAATGTTCCCACATCAACCAGACTTTCATCTAAGGCTTTTTAGCAGCTAGTGATGATTGTTGCAGAGAGCCTTTATATCAGTAAGGTTGGAAAATGGTGACATTCTAATTCTGTCATTTCTTTTGCACTTATTAGCTGGCAGTTTTCTTTGAAGAAGAAGTTGCCCACATTGACTCTGGCTATTCTGGAATATAGTTTTGTTTTTAAAAATATATATTTTTATTGATTTAAGAGAGGAAGGGAGAGGGAGAGAGAGAATCATTGATCAGCTGCCTGCTGCACACCCCACACTGGGGATCGAGCCCCCAACCAGGTACGTGCCCTGACCGGCAATTGAACCATGACCTCTTGGTTCATAGGTCAATGCTCAACCACTGAGCCACACCTGCCGGGCTGGAATATAATTTATACAGGATATACAAATTGGATATGTACCCAATTCTTTTGTTTGCCGGTCTTCAGAATAATGAGGTTTTTTAAGGTATTATAAACTCATGAATTTATATATTTGATGTTTTTCACTCTGTTTGTACTATGTATGTATGTATTTTTATATTTTAATTATCCCATCTTTGGAGTCCCTTTAAGTTGGCATCTGTGTCCCTTTGCCATGATCTTATTCATCTTTGACAGATTTCTTGCTTATGATCATACTAACATGTTCCAGAATCATCTTGAAATTTCTTGCCTAGACTTGGAAATAGCCATTTTTTCAAGAAGCCCAAGTTCAAAGAGATTTTTGAGAAAATAGCATTTTTACTTTGGGAAGCTCTTAAAGAACAATACAAGATAGAATGCAGTCATGTAAAATGATAGCAGTGTTCTCACAATGTGTTGGGGGCTATAAATGCTGCAGGAAATACCAGTGATTCCTGGAACGTTTGGGCAGCCATTTTAGAAGAGGTAAGACTGGAGCTAAACTGTCAAATAGAGGAAAAAATGAAAATTCATATGCCCATTGTAGGAGAAATTGTTAGGAGGAGTGAAAGAACAATATGGATGGTATAGTAAAGGAGCTTGACTAGAACACAGAGTACCTTGACTTTGATTTTGATTTTATAAGCACTGGGAAATGAGAGAAAGTATTTGAGTTTGGAAGTGAAATTGCAAGTCATGCTTTGGAAAGAGTAATATTACAGCAGGGTTAAACAGTTGCTTAAAGCAGGGTTCTCAGCTGGAGATTTGTAACATAATCTTTGGGAAATTAAACAACCCATACCTGGGGCCTATCTCAACTTAGGCTCATTTGCTTTTTTTTTTAATTAAATTTATTGGGGTAACATTGGTTAATAACATAAATTTCAGGTGTGTAACTTTATAATACTACATGTGTATGTTCATCACCCAGTCTAGTTTCCTTCTGTCACCATATGTGTTTCAAAAGACCTTTGTACGATTCTATTTTATCAACCCTAATTAAAACTAAAATCTTGCCTGGCTGGTGTGGCTTAGTGGTTGAATGTTGACCCAAGAACCAGGAGGTCTGGGTTTAATTCCTGGTCAGGGCGCATGCCTGGGTTGCAGGCTCGATCCTTAGTTGGGGGCATAGGGGGAAGCCGGTCAGTGATTTTCATCATTGATGTTTCTACTGCTCTCCTTCCTTCTTCCTCTCTGAAATAAATAAAAACATTAAAAAAAAACACCTGAGAAACCCCTAAAAACTCAAAGATCAGTTCCGCTATTCCAAGTATGCTAAGCATGAGTTAGTAAGGGCATAGATTGGGGTAATGGCAATGGGAATGAGAGGAAGTAAGAGATAGAAAATGCAAATTAGTTTTTAAAGTTTTCATATGGCATTTCATTAATAATGTTAACACTAATAAAAGAATTCAAAGAGAGGGAAACAAAGATGACTCTTAAGATTTATGGTATGGGGCCAGATATAAATAGGAAGATTGGCAGAGATTGCTAGTTTGGGGGAGAAAGTAATGGGACATGTTGAATGTTGAGATGATGGCTGTATATCAAAATGGACTCTAGAGGTTGAAATGTGTTCTTTTTCGGACTGCTTCATTCATTCTCTCTTGGCAAAGTACGGTACTTAACTTAGATCATGCCAAATTGATTGGGAGGATTAAAAACTCTAAGCTTTCATTTGAAAAATGAAATGTTCAATATATTAAAAAAGAACTATCTGCCTGGCCAGTGTGGCTCAATGGTTGAGCATCAACCTATGAACCAGGTGGGGTTTGATTCCTGGTCAGGGCATATGCCTGGGTTGCAGGCTTGATCCCCAGCGTGGGATGTACAGGAGGCAGCTGGTCAATAATTCTCTCTCATCATTATGTTTCTGTCTCTCCCTCTCCCTTCCTCTCTGAAATCAATAAAAAAAAAAATTTTTTAAAAAAGAACTATGTTTAATGTAAAATAAAGTAGGAAAGGGACTGGAAAAGGCATTTCAGCAAATATGAAAATACCAGTATTAATAAATACTGTAATCATTTGGAACAAAAACAAAAGTCAGTAAACCAGGCAAAGGACTTGAACAGACAACTTTTACAACTGGGAAATTTAACTAATTAATTCATTCTTTCAACAAACATTTACTGAGTTCTTTCATCGGGTACTGTTCTAAGTGCTAGTGAATAAGATCTGTGAACATTCTGATGGTGGTGTGAGAGAGATGGACAATAGACATGGTTCAAAAAACAAGATTTCCAAATAGTGATAATGCTGTTGAGAAAATAAGATAGGTAATGAAGTAGAGAGTAGCTTTTTTTTAATGCCTTTTCTTGTGGAAAACTTTTGTAGTTGTGCAACGAGGTTAGCATTCCTACTTAGTTATGTGGAAAAAAATTGGTCAGATTTAAATTAAGTTCTGTTGTGGTTCCCTGCTAATTGCACACAAAAGTATTTTTCTTTTGTTTGGTTCCTGAATATGTTTATACTAGAGGCCTGGTGCACAAAATTTGTGCACAGGTAGGGTCCCTAGGCCTGGCCAGCGATCAGGGCCGATTAGGGCCTTCCTTCCCTTGCTGCCAGCTGCCGGCTGGGGCCTTCCTTTGTTCCACGCCAACCCCTGGTGATCAACGCACATCATAGCAAGCAATCGAATTCCCAGTCTCCCCGTTGAACTCCCAAGGAGACAGTTTGCCTATTAGCCTTTTATATACATAGAAGATTAACGGGATAGAGTATGGATTGAGATTTGGTTTTTCTTGTGGAAATTACTTATATGGATTCTTTTCACAGAAGAGTGTCTGTTTTGTTCTGTTGAGAGGGAAACCATTCCTCTGAAAAATATTCACATTTTTTCCTCTGTTTCTTGGAGTCTTCTCTGCTTATTGTACAGAATGGTTGTGAGGGTCAAATGAGATACATATGAAAGGATCTAAGTTAAGGAAATCTTTGAGTACATAGAAGTTATAGGAGTGAGCTGGAACTCTTTGTCCTTTGCTGTTTAATTACACATCATATAACTGAATATTTCAAGCTAGAATTGAAGTATACAGAAAGTTCAGTGCATTTCTTTAAAGTATTAAGTCATTTTGCAGATGGGAATGTACTTGTGTAAGAAAAACAGAGCAAGGTAATTGCCTGTTACTTTGCAGTTACATTTTTTTATTAAATTAAGGTTAGGGACTTTTTACGTATGGTAAAGGGGTAATGGAGTAGGAAAACAAATTTCAGTCTTAATTTTCTAATGGATAATTTACTGTCGAGAATATAAGACTTATAGGGAATGAGGTTTTTAGAAATGGAAACAAAAATAGTCCTAAGATATAAGAAAGTAGCTCATATGCTCAAGTTAGCCCAAGCTTTCTTTAATTCTGACTGCCTTCTATGGAACTTTTTTATTTTCAAAGGAAACTTGAACATAACTTCAAAAGAAGATTTGATTCTTTATTTCTGGACTGCAATTATATAACAAGACCATCAGAATGTCGGGAGCCTCAGTGAAGGTGGCTGTTCGAGTGCGGCCTTTCAATTCTCGAGAGACCAGCAAAGAGTCCAAGTGCATCATTCAGATGCAAGGCAACTCGACTAGTAAGTACATGTTGTTTTCTATCAGTTATATTTCACTTTTCTATTCTTCCTCCGTCCCTTCTTGCTGTGATCAAGATACATGAATATTTGGGTATTACCACTTACCACTTTATACTTTACTATTATTTTAATTTAATAATTGTATTTTAATTTAATAATTGTCTTTTCATTTCTTTTTTTAAAAAAATACTTATTGTTGAAAGTATTATATATGTCCCCTTTTTTCCCTCCATTGACCCCTTCTAGTCCACCCCTGCCCTCTGCCCCAGGCCTTCACCACCCTATTGTCTGTGTCCATGGGTTATGCATACAAGTTCTTTGGTTGATCATCACCCCCCACCACCACCACTCTCCCCTGCCTTCCCTCAGAGTCTGCAGTCTGTTCTATGCTTCTGTGTCTCTGGATCTATTTTGTTCATCAGTTTATTTTGTTCGTTAGAGTCCATATATGAGTGACTTTAGCATGAAAGACTATCCATAATAAGTTAATAGGGTTTACTAGTATTTATTAGCAAGTATCTACTTTATGTATGTTTAATGGTGTGGTAAGTACTAAACAGAATACAAAAGAACAGTAATCCATTGACTGTCCAAGAAAATAAAATTATTAGAGTATGTGGTAAAATTAAAACCTTTTCTTTAGTTCTGGGTAGTTATGAGAAATGGGTCTGGGTCTGCTTGACTTTCTGACTTTGCTGTTTTTTTTAATCAGATGGATTAAAAGCTCATTAAGAGATTATTGATGGCTAATTTAAAAAAAAGGTGTTAGATCTCATTTTTTAAAGATACATAGCTCTCTTTTTTGCCTTATTTTGATTGCATAGAAAATAATGTCAGTTTAAGGTAGAAAAGTAAAATTACCCAAATATGATATTCACTCTGGATGAAAGATTTCAGATGTTTTCACTTGTGGTAGATAACAAACTGGAGAAGAAAATAAGATTTCTGGTTGGCCACCTTTTTAGGATAGGGCCATAAAATTTAAAATTTGTGAGGCTATGTCTTATGTACCAATTCTTGCTTATAACCCATAAAATAATCTCTCCAGAACCATTGAAAATATTGATATGTCTTTTTTTTTTAATATATCTTTATTGATTTCAGAGAGGGAGAGATAGAAACATCAATGATGAGAGAGAATCATTGATCGGCTGTCTCCTGCATGCCCTACACTGGGGATCAAGCCCACACACGGGCATGTGCCCTTGACCAGAATTGAACCCAGGACCCTTTAGTCCACAGGCCGATGCTCTATCCACCAAGCCAAACCGGCTAGGGCTTGATATGTCTTTCGATAAAACATTAAAGAAGAAATGCCTGATTTTATTTATTATTATTTTAAATATTTTTATTAATTTCAGAGAAGAAGGGAGTGGGAGAGAGAGATAGAAACATCAATGATGAGAGAGAATCATTGATTGGCTGCCTCCTGCACATCCCCTACTGGGGATTGAGCCCACAACCTGGGCATGTGCCCTTGACCGGAATTGAACCCAGGACCCTTCTGTCCACAGGCCAGTGCTCTATCTACTGAGCCAAACGGTCTAGGGCTGGTTTTTATTACTAAAAGTAATTAATACTTTGGTTAAAGTAGGCCTGGATATATTGTACTAGTTCTATAAAAACCAGTCTGTGGACCACCTTAAGCAAAGTGCTGAACTACCAGTGGTTTTTCCATCATATTTTGTCCAAAACTTTTCTAGACTACAGGCTGAGTGGCTTTGCTCTGCCCTGCCCTTTCTGTCTTTCCCTTCCTCTTTGAGAGTCTACTAAACTGTGTGCCTATAGGGAATTACAGAATTGTATGTACCATAGGACTTTGCCCTTAAGGAGTTTTTAGTTCAAGGTAGGAGAGATAAGATATAATAAAATAACCTCAATCCAAAGTAAATGAAAGTGATAATTGCCATAAAAAAGGATTTTTAAAAAGTGCAAATGTGAGTTTGGCAAAGAACACATGTAAGATTCATAGATGATAGGGCATTTTAGCTAGACCTTGAGGAATAAATCAAATTATAAACTAAACATCCAGTAAGTTTGGGGAAATTTTCAGAATTGTAGCTTATTAGAACTTGTGCTATGACTAGATATTGGTACTTCTCACCTTCATCTGGCTATAGTAGATTGCTTCTCGCATGTCAATGTTCAGCAGGAGAAATTTGACTTTTAAATTACCATTAATCTACTTGAACAAAAATGCTCTTTCGCTGAATTGGCCTTGGAAAAAGTAGGGCTAGTTTTCTAGCTAAATACTTACTTTGTCATGGCTCAGGGCTTGGAGTAATTGTGGTTCCTTGAAAGGTGTTTGTTCCTGGAAAGCTAGTTATCTAATTGTATCAGAGTCGTTTTTCTCTAGGATTTTTGGCGTTTTGGTTTTCTACTAATTTTTATATTTTGGGGTTTTTTTTTACATGGCAATTTATTAGTAATTTGACTAATAAGCAATCTAGATGCTTTTTAAATGAGAGATTTTAAGTGAGCCACTTGCTATGTTTAGAAAGTATTAATGGCTTTAAAAAAACACACACATTGGACTTAAGGTTGGGAGAGAGCATGCATTTTGAACCTAGAATTGTTGAAAAAATGAAATGAATTTGCTATAGCCACATGTGTTCGCTGCATTAAAAGACTTCTATGCTGGCAAGCTAGCCTAAACTGCTGCTCACAGGGATTATAGTTGATTGCAGATGGAATGTTCCTGCCATAAGATACCTTATGAAAAAGTAGAAGAGGGTGAAGGGTACTTTAGGGAATGTGCCAGATCTGAAAACTGAGTAGCAGCAGTTTTATTTAAGCACTTTCTGGTCTCAGAGGGAATATTTTCCATGGCACAGATAAATGTTACTGCCTTGACATTTTTGAGACCCGAGTGCATACACAAATGGCTTTGTTTAATAATATCCCATTATATTCCAAGTTTCTCCCACTTAGGCAGCATTTTTTATTGTCTAGTTACCTCCTTACCACAGTCGCCTGCTGCATTTTGATGAACTTTTATTGTTTCTATTTGGTTAAGTGGTTAGAATTTTGTATTCTAGTCTTTAAGTCTTTAGGTATTTTTACTCTCATTAGTATTACCTAATTCTCACTTGCATTTTAGTTTGGTTTCTTTTCTTGGGGCCTGTGGATTGACTTCTGAGTGTCTGTCAAGATGGTCCCTTGAAATTATATGCAAAATAAAAAAAAACACACAAAAAAGTCTTAAGCATTTTCTTTGGGAGGGAGTAATCACTTCCATTACATTTTTAGAGATCTGTGTCCCCCAAAAGGGTTAAGAGGCACTAGCCTTGTATCAGAATGAGATCTCCTTAAGTCTTTTCTGGGATAAGCCAGGGCTAATTATAGTTAGATCAGACTAACGTGTGAATTTCATAACATAGCACCCGAAGTGCTTCACAGTGTGGCTGGAGAAGTAGGATAAACCCAGCTCTTCGTCTACTGCTTGTCCACCTCTAACCATGAGCTCTGACCTGAGAGATGGGATGTCTACTTTCTTTTAACCTGTTCTTTGTCGGGATTCATTCTGTGAACTGTGTATCTTACACATGCCCAATCATATTTCTCTTTATAACCTCTACCAAGTAGTGCATTCCTCTGGGAGTCACTAAAACTGCTGATGATTTGGGCATTTAAACTCCTAACAGCACTCATTTTTCTTAGAGCAAAACAAAACAAAAAAAACAACCACCTAGAACAGTGATGGCGAACCTTTTGAGCTCGGCGTGTCAGCATTTTGAAAAACCCTAACTTAACTCTGGTGCTGTGTCACATATAGAAATTTTTTGATATTTGCAACCATAGTAAAACAAAGATTTATATTTTTGATATTTATTTTATATATTTAAATGCCATTTAACAAAGAAAAATCAACCAAAAAATGAGTTCGCGTGTCACCTCTGACCTAGAAACAACCCAGTATCCATCAGCAAGGGACCAGATAAATAAATCATGTTATATTTTATTTACTTATTAATTCAGTCTCAATGTGGCTTCTTCCTTACTCCTTAGTTTAGGACTTCTGTTCAGCTAGTCTTCAGAGGGTTCTCCACATTGATTGTTCTAGATTTTAGTTGTAATACAACTACAACTGAGGTCCTGGGAGGAGGCAAGCACAGTGTTTACCTACTTTGCCATCTTGACCAGAACTCCATGGTACATATATATTATAGAATATAGCAAAGAAGAGAATTAATGCAGCACACACACACACACACACACACACACACACACACACATCATACATAAACTACAGCCTCACAAGTTGCAAAGGAAGCTCATGTATTTTCCTATATAATAAAAGTCTAATATGCAAATCGACCAAACGGTGGAATGACCGGTGGTACGACTGGTCACTGACCACCAGGGGGCAGATGCTCAATGCAAGACTGCCCCCAGCCCGCAGACCCCAGGCCAGCCAAGGTGGGGCCAGCAGGGGCCCTCCAATCGCCCACCCCAGTCGCCCCACAGGTTGGCCCTGATTGCCAGCCAGGCCTAGGGAACCTACCCATGGATGAATTTCGTGCACTGGCCCTCTAATATTAATATAAATTTCAAGCCCTAACTGGTTTGGCTCAGTGGATAGATCGTCAGCCTGCGGACTGAAGGGTCCCAGGTTTGATTCTGGTCAAGGGCATGTACCTTGGTTGCGGGCACATCCCCAGTAGGGGGTGTGCAGGAGGCAGCTGATCGATGTTTCTCTCTCATCGATGTTTCTGACTCTCTATCCCTCTCCCTTCCTCTCTATAAAAAATCAATAAAATATATTAAAAATATATAAATTTCAAAACATGCAAAGCTGTGTTCTGTATTCCTTACTCCATATAAACACATGTATGGGGTAAAACTGTGCAGAAAAGTAAGGTAATAATGACAAAATTCAGCATGTTTCAGAGGGGGGATGGTGGGCCAAGAGATCTGGGAAGGTCATCCAGTGGAACTGCAGGGTGAGAGCCATGTTCTGTAACTGGCTGGGGAGTACCCAGGCTTTTGTTTTGTTATTG